ACCTTGTGCGCTCCCAGTCCCCAGCTGGTGTCTGCTGCTCATCAAAGGTAGGTGAGCACACGGAGAGTTAAACTTGCGATGGCAAAAGCAAAGGGACACCTGGGAATTAGCAGCCAGAGCAGAGCAGCAGCTGTTTTTTGAAGAATCACAGGTGACACCAATGAAACCATCATGCTCATCAGCCGATTTGATCAGAAATCACCATGCTCAGCACTTAGAAAAGATTCCAGGTGCCTCAGCACAGGTTATAACCCCCTTTCAAACCAAAATAACCCCTCAGGAACCATCCGGCACCCTTCTGAAGTGCAGAGCATCAAACGCTGGAGTCGCAGTGGGAAGATTTCTGTATTTCATTGCAGACAGCCACGTCAGAAGGCTGGGCAGCTTTTGGACCATGTTTGCCATTAACAGGGAACAGACGAAATATTTATTCATGTTAATCTGATTTAATAAATGAAAGCGTCTACATTGGGACGTTTCCATAACGTTGGACTAAACCTCAGGTATTTCGGTACTACTGATCTCCATGTTATTCTTCTAGGGCTCTGACCTGCAGAATACAGGAGAGAAAATTAACATGAAAGAAAAAAAAAATCAACCCCCAACTCCACCTTTGTACAGTTGTTGGAGCACACCCAGTAATTACGTCCAGGAGCACTGGGACTGCTACAGGCTGGCTGCAGCAGAACTGGCCAGCTCTGCTCTGGCTGCTGAAGGGTTCACCAGGGGCTTCGACTAGATGAAATTTGCTTTTATTTCACAAATTGAGTGGCACAAAGATCAAGACACAAGTTCCCCGTGGGCAGTCCGCACAGGAATACCGGAGGCTTTCATGGGCAGCTTCCTATGCGGTATTTAATTTTTAGTATATTAAGAGAATCTTTCTGAAATGTTTTAAATATAAATAACTAAGAAAATATAAATGAGATATGACTAAGTTTGGTCAGGTGATGCTTCAGTGACTTTTGCTTGTTGGTCTCTCCCTAGGAGGTGTGGGAAACCTGTGATCAGTCCTAATTTTGCAGGGAAGTGTCTAGATCTCAAGGAGAGAATCATTTGCTCTGGGGATGATCACCTGGGAAAGGGGATATGAGCTCAAAAAGTTGTCACCTGCCTCTGCCAAGACGCAACTATTTCTGTTCTGGATGGCTGAACACGACCATTTAGCCAAACACAAGGCTTCACCGAGGAGCATCAGTGTGTCACGTTTTGTGAGACTAAACCAGCCAGTCCAGAGTCTCTTGACATGTTTGAGATGGACAGATGTGATTTTGAGTCCAGCACATCTTGTGGGGAGGAATGTTGGAAGAGGCGTTTGGTACAGTTGCTTGGGCAGCACGGGGC